CTGGAAAGCTGCCTGGTGGAAAGGACCTGGGGGTGTTGGTGAACAGCTGGCTGAATATGAGCCAGCAGTGTGCCCAGGTGGCCAAGAAGGCCAACAGCATCCTGGCTTGTATCAGCAATAATGTGGCCAGCAGGACTAGTGAGGTGATTGTCCCTCTGTGCTCGGCACTGGTGAGGCCGCACCTTGAATACTATGTTCAGTTTTGGGCCTCCCACTACCAGAAAGACTTTGAGGTGCTGGAGCATGTCCAAAGAAGGGCAACAAAGCTGGTGAAGGGTCTAGAGCACAAGTCTTAAGAGGAGTGGCTGAGGGAACCTGGGTTGTTTAGTCTGGAGGAGAGGAGGCTGAGGGGAGACCTTGCTCTCTACAACTACCCAAAAGAAGGTTGTAGCCAGGTGGGTGCTGGTCTCTTCTCCCAAGTAACAAGTGATAGTACAAGAGGAAATGGCCTCAAGTTGTTCCAGGGAAGGTTTAGATTAGATATTAGGAAAAATTTCTTCACCCAAAGGGTTGTCAATCATTGGAAAAGGCTGCCCAGGGAAGTGGGTGAGTCACTATCCCTGGAGGTATTTAAAAGGTGCATAAATGTGGTGCTTAGGGACATGGTTTAGTGGTGGACTTGGTAGTGCTAGGTTAACGGTTGGACTTGATGATCTCAAAGGTCTTTTCCAACCTAAACAATTCTATGATTCTATCAACACTGATAGTACAGAGGCTCTAGGCTAGTCTCCTAATTTAAGGGCCTCTGTTAAGACAGTAAACCTGAGGGAAAGAAATTCACATTACAGAGTTCCTCCTGGGTCAGTGTTGAAGCTGCTCTCTGACCAGGGCTAGAGCAGAACATTATAACCTGCTTTGGTTTATGTTGAACTCAGCACGAAACCTCATGTTTAAAGTGGAAATGCTGAGTAAAAGTGAAAGGCGGCAAATAACAAACATCTAATTGTGGGAAGCCCAAGGCACCAATCTGGGAACATACTAGGTGCATGCTCTATGCACCCATATGCGTATCTGTGAGGATACTGACAGGTTTATGTGCTCAATGCCACGGTTAGTGCTTCTTTGAGCATCCTCAGTGGACAGTAAGAAGGAATTTTTTCCACAGAGTTTTTTTCAGGGAACTGTGACAAGTTTGTATTTCTCAAGGGCTGAGGTTTATCCTCTAGGATGGTCCCTTGAGTACTGGTTGACTTCAGTTCATGTGTGGTTCCAATATCTGTTTTGAGTAATAATTTGTAGGATTTGTACAGAGTAGGTCCCTTTCCTGCAGGGTTGGTTTTCAACCTCACTTTCTAAAAAGAGTCTAACTTGCCCTTTTATTCTAGATGACTCCGGCCGCTGGGGAAGGGGTGGTTTATTTACAGCTCTGGAGGCTCGTTCTGATCAGCCAAGGAAAATATATGAGATGGCAGGAAAGATGAAAGGTAAGAGATTAAAAAATGACCTTAGGCCAAGATACTCAAAAGAGCTTAAATCCTACTGATGTTGCAGGAGTGAGGTGCCTGGATACCTTGATGGTCATGTTTTTTTCTTCTTTCTCTAGATATCCCTAGCTCTGAGAGTAGTAATACAGTGAGTGCTTTGACTTGACTTGTTTGGAGTGTGAGAACTCTGCATAGGGGTTGGTCATTCCGATCCATGCTGCAAGTCATAAAAAAAAGAAAAAAGAAAAAAAACGAACTTGTTCATTATTCACAGGATGTTTTTCACTGTATAAGAGTACTGCATTTTCTGTCAAAGTGCTTTTAAGAAGGATGAAAGACACCTCAGACAGTCCTCAGCTGAGCTTTTGGTTCCCTCCAAGCACAAATCTTCTCCTAAGCATGTATGAGCAGTTTTGAGCTACCTGCAGCTGGTGAGGAATGCACATCTTGCTGTAAGGTGGACCTGTTGGGGTTTTTTTCTAATTTCCTGGGAGATGCTTTCTTCTTGTTCCAGTGTCTCTCTTTCCATTTGCAGTCTTTAGATGGGATGTGTGTGTCTGTCTGTTTGCTTCAGGAGTAACGTCTGTCTTGCTTCCCTGGGAAAAGGGTCTGATTCTGCGGAAACCATCATGAGGAGATAAAGAAAGCCAAGGAGAATACTACAGAATGTGACAGTGAAATCACTGCTGCATTGACTGCCTGTTGACTCTTCAGGACTGATTTTTTTGTTGTTCTGTTCTTGTTTTCTGGACAGACCTGGAGTTAGGAGGAACCCTATTATTCCCCATTGATGATAAAAAATCCAGGAAAAAAGGACAAGACCTGGTGAGAATGAGAAGCTCATTTTTGTGTTGCTCTGTCCACATGTTTTTGAAGCTGCATGAAATGAACATTATGTCTTTCCCAATAATAGTGGCACTGAATACTGAACATGGCTAAGTTGCAGTTAAACATTAGAGAAAAGGAGATTCTTCTTCTCACTTATTAAAGCTAATAGTAATGCAGTTTTCCAGCAGCTATCACTGTGTCTCTTAGCGCTGTATATAGACTCCCTTTCATTTTTTGTGTTTTCTCCTTAGTTGGCCTTGCTTGTAGCGCAGCACCGGGATCGGTCCAACAACTTGTCTGGCATTAAGCTGTCTGCTTTGGAAAAGGGCCTGAAGAAGATTTATTTAGCAGCCAAGAAAAGGCATGGTAAGTGTCTGTGCAGAACAGTGAATTCTTACATGTTGATTGCACCTAAAGATGATGACCAATTTACACCTCTCCTGTACTGTTTTTTTCTGAAGTGAAGTAAGAGTGAGATCTCCATGGCAGATATGTTGTGGTCCAAAATATTTCTTTTGTTCTTGTTGGGTAGCTTGAAGTCCTTATCTAGATTGCTTTCTATACGTGTATCTTGTCCTAAAGAGTGTGCACTCTCTGTTCCCTCCTTCTCAGCATCAGTGCATCTTCCACGTATTGGGTATGCAACAAAAGGTTTCAACTGGTATGGTACCGAGCGGCTCATCCGAAAATATTTGGCAACACGGGGTATCCCCACTCTTATGTATCCTTTTGGAGTATGTCTTACTTTGTTCACAATCTAATATTGAAATGATCCCCTAAATATCTTGGTGAATGCAAAGCAAGGAAGCAAGACAAGGCACAGATGCCACAGTCCAGCTGAAAACTTGGTTTCTCTGACTTTGCTGTCATCCAGGTACTCATTCTACAGTGAGAACTGTGATAATGACAGATTAGTGTGATTTCAGTATGCCTGTCAGAATCTGTTGGAACTAGATGCTAGTCTTCTGTTGACAGCCATCGACTTACCTGTATATGCCACGTCTGTGGGGGAGATGACTGGAATTTCAGAATAATGGAAGTGACTCAGAAAGTAGCAAAAGTGAGAATGTGGAAAAAAAACCCCCATCACATTACCGTGTTCCAGGCAAGTGATAACCTGCTTCCTTGGCTGAATATGGTGGAGCTGGTGTGTGTTAAGACAGGCTCTCATAACAAAACAGCTCACCGCTTTCACTTTCCAGGAAAGGAAACAGAGGTTTACAAGGAGGCTCTGGGTTTGTTTTTTTTTTTTTTTTGCTTCTCTAGGAAGGCATGCATTTGCTATACTGCCACTGTCAGCAATTCTGTGAAATTGAAAACCTCAAAGACAATGGTATTTAGACCATTTCTGTCTCCTTCCTTGGTGAATCTCTTAGTGGACATGTTATCTGGCATTCCTTGACACTTGACAGCATTTCCTTGACACTTCTTATTAGATACTACTTCCCTAGGAATAAAGGCTCTTCCTCTGCTTCACAACCATATTCATCTTCAATGACAGTCTCAAAGCCATGAAGATGCAGTAATTTAATTGAGAAACCTGTGCAAAAAGCCAAGGATCTTTTCAACATCACGCAGACAGTCTGTATGCATCCATTTCAGAAACATGGCTTACACAGCCATGATTTGCCCCTGCATCTCTCTGACTATTGGCTAGAACGTTTACATATTGTCAGTGCTGTGGAGAGGAATGAGACTGCTTCAGAGTTCAAAGAATCTTTGGATAAGGATGTTGACTCAATCCCAGATCTGTTTTGGAGATGGAAAATAAAACTTTTACTGATGGTCAGTTGTTATCCCTTACATTAAGTTATTGCTAGGACTTGGAATACAGTATTGTTTGGCCATATTACCCCCCCCAGTTCAAATTTCATCCTTTGTCTTACTATACCTCTTTTCAATCAGCTTTTTAGTGGTTACCTGGGTCTCTGCATACATGACCATAGATGTCTCAGTGGAAAGCAAGCTGCCTGCATTAACAACGCCACATGACAACCACGTAGTATAAACTGTTTATACTGTCCCACTTCCCCAGAGGTCCATTTGACTTGCATTTGTTCAGATAGAAAACTTAGCCACATAATCACATGCTTACAATTGAGCAAAATCCTGACCAGTGTTCTGGGCAAAGGTGTGCAAGGCTGCCAAAATTTGAGACTGGCTTTATAAATGATACCTTTCCTTCTCCCACAACTGGGAGAAGGAAACTGCTTTTCCATTACACAGTTCTTTGTTTCATCTGTTGATCAAAACCAGTTCTTTACTGATGTCCAAAAAGCTGTGTGAAAGGTGCCGTGACCCTTTGATTAACTTTAAGGAAATCTTAATGCAGAGTTTTTGATGTTGGCTTTACTCTATTGCAACAGAACTTTCCTGTTTTTTGCATTGTTGGCACTGTTGGCTTTGGTGTTTAGTACAACCAGGCAATAGTAGCTCTCCTAATAAGTGTTTTGACCCGAGAGACTGTGAGGTGCCAAACTTAATTCAATTTAAAGTTCATCTCCCAGTGGGAAATCACCCTACAAACAGTGGAAAGTATGTCTTTAAATATCTAATTGCCAACATACATCTTGCTGCATTTACGCTGCCTCTGTAGCACTGTCTGGTTACTTAATTGCAGGCCTGATTCTGACATGGCTCATCACACTGACTGGTGTGCTGCACAACTGAAGAAGCCTTCCTGAGTTGGATGCTCTGTCGTTCACTCTTAGTTCTTCCAGAAAGCCCAAAGTGATTCATTATCTCCTTTGACCCTGCGGAAGCTTAGGTAAGCTAGTGCTGCATAGCACCTCTGTGGGTAAGACTTTTTTTGCAGCTGCTCACAGGAACAGCCCCTACGTATTTGGCAAAGGGCTTGCAGGATCAGAGTCTGACTGTGAAGACTCTCTGGGGTGAAAGGTGGTGAGTGGATGTACATTACCTTGTTTTCCCCCAGTCATGCGAACTGGCGCTCTTCCAGCGGGCCGGCTGGTGGCACTGTTAATCAGCTGCAGCAGCACACGTTGCTCTTCGGCCTCCTTTCAGAGAGCAGGGCAGTAGTCTCCAGCCTGGAAAAATGCTGCCTCTTTGTCATAATTAAAGCACCAATTATGCTTCTCTCTCTGCCAGCTTGACTGAACACATGATTTCAGTCTGCAAACTCAAGGCTCTGTTCCTCCACCCATTCTTTTCCTGAATATTTATTGTCTTTCTTTAAAAGGTTTCATTTCCAAGTGTTCCAGTGTATGCAGTCTTGTTCCTCAGCTTCACACACACCTATGGCCAAATCCCAGCCCACCTACGGGTTCTTTGGCCACCACGGACGGGATTTGTCTTGTGACCGAGTCCCCCAGAATAGGTTGAAGTAGTGCATCTACCACCACTATGGCCAGGTATTCCTATTTGAGGCCTCATGCTTTCCTTTGTTTCTACAAGAAGATGGGGCTCTGCCTCTCTCCTGTGCCCCCCCACCCTGCTATAACTCTGACTAGAGTTATAAAGGAGAGGAGGGCATGACTACATGCCAGTTAATGTCCTTTACCCTCTAAGATAAGGTCCACAGGGGGCTGCAAGATTCCTGGTACACACAGAGGAACGGTCATGGTATGCACTGGATTCTAGCCCTCTAATCAGGGGCAAGTCAGACAAAAGATGTTCTCTTTTTCCCCTCTAGTCTTCTTGGCCCGTACAGGTGAAATCTCCCTTATTTTTTTCCCTTTAAATTTACTTAGGAAATGCTTCTGGAGTGTGGGGGGTTTATTGTTGGGTTGTTTGGTTGGTTTGTGGGGTTTTTTTCTTTTTTAAACAATCTTCTTCAGTGTTCTTTACATCTGCTGAAGAAAAATTCTACCTCTATCTGCTTTGAAATGGAAGTGAGATTTTAACTGAATCCTGAACTGGGTTTTGCAGAATCTCAGCCAAGTGGAGCTTTTCTAGCGTTTACTACCCACCACCATTTCTCTTTACTTGGGCAGAAATCATGTATTATTTTGGATATTTAATTCCATAAAGGGCTCAGTAGTTTTTATGCAAGCTGCTATGCAAAATAAATGTGTCATGCTGTTTCTTCAGCTGTGCAGTACTACGCATTTTCCCTTTCTAAATAGCAACCACCCCAAAAGGGAAGGAAGGTGTTCTTTTGTAGTCATGTCCCTCTGGCCTCTCTCTTCCTCTAAACAAGATTTTCTGCAGTTTTAGAGCTGAAATGTGGCTCCTCGTGCATATCTGTCATTGCATGTTTTCTTAGACTTTAGATGTATACTGCTAGATTGAGGTCAGCACAGAGCAAGATCATGCACAGTTCAGATTGGCTATACAAGCAGTTCCATCAGATAGAACCTAAGAAATGGTGTCCAGTCTCGATGAAAAACTTCTCTCTCCACCCCAGGCTGGAGGCTCCGGCTGATGCCATGTGAGAGTGGGCAGTAATTTGGAATGACATTTATGCTTGCACTGGCTCAACTCATACCTATGTTTCTTACTTGACATGGCACTACCTCTGATTCTCAAAGCATTGTGCAGACAAATTCTGTCTTTGGTGAGGAATTTCTATGTCCTGTAACTTAAGAATGATCTTTTTATCCTACTCAGGAAACAGTGTGAAAAAATGAAGAAACCAATCAGGTTTTATGGAGATGTGTAGATTTGTGATTTTGTCACTGAATTTTGTCACAGACAAATATTATATGGATATGTCACTGTGTGTTGGGGAAGGTGGAGTCTGTATTTTGGGGAAGGAAAGAGGAAGACCAGTTCCCAAGGTGGTGGAGAAAATCTACAGCAAATACAACCTCAGTATCTTAACAAAAATATTGTATGTATGTGTCTCTAAACGAGGCAGAATCTGGCCACAAAAATGATCAGTAGAAAAATACAAGGATCAATAGATGCATTTATTTTAAAATAAGTGAATCTAATGGTCATGGAGGAAGAAAAGAGAGCAAACCTTTGAGCAAAGAGATGACTTAAAAGTGTGACCTACATGTCATGTCGTGTGAAAGCTCCCACTGCTTTACAACAGATGATCCTAGAAGAGACAGCATAGACCTTTATTTAGCTAATTTGACTGGATAGTAGGTTGGTCATACACTGTGATCAGCAAATCAAAATGTAAGACAGAGTGATTCAAAACACTAAGTGATTTGTTTTTAAGAAGGGATACAGTCCACATTCCCAAAAGTACCTCGTCTGCCACGTCCAAGATCACTTGTGTTCCACAGCTGTGACTGAAAATCCATCTCTCTCTGGTCTTCTGTCCAACTCATACTTTTCAGAGTGAAAAATACAAGCCTGAGGAATGCAGTAGCATGATTAGTAGATTACAGTTGAGTATTTCTTCTGAAAAAGCAGATCTATAATTTTGAATTCCTGGCATGAATGAGTCAGTGTGTGTTTTCCATGCTGGACTCTACCCATCTTGGCCTTGGTCAGGTGGTATTGCATTTGTGGGAAGACACCTAGAACCTTCTGAAAATGTCATGAGGACAAAAATTGTCTGGATCCTGATGTTTCACACAGAAAAAAGAATGTTCCTGCTTGCACCTCCTAGCATTTCCTTGAATATTTCTTCAAAGTTATGGATAGAAACAGTCCCCTCAAGCAACTACATGAAGTGAGAATGTCAGTCATGTTTCTCTTGGAAAAACAAACCAAAGAAGTGTCAAGGGAAGCCAGAAGCTGCTTCCTGTAAGATCTAAAAAGTCTCCAGGTTTTGATGCGTTAAGCAGAAAATTATTTTATTTTATTCATTTATTTATTGGAGTAAGTGCAGGGCATCTACTAGCCTTCCACTGCTACAGTGAACTTGAGGCCATAGCATTGGCATGCACACGATAAGGATTTTTTTTTTTCTGAATAAAAAGAAATTAGAAGTAAAACAAAGGTATTTATGATCTCATGCAAATCCACTGCAGAAATGGATGAAGAATCTGAGTTCATATTTCTTATCTGTGTGCCACATCATGAAATGGGCCACCTTTGGGCTTAGCTTCATATGAGTGTCCTGCTTCATCTGTCTATCTGTGTGTGCATCTAAGAGCATGCCATAAAGCAGAGCCAGTCCCTGCACTTGACCATTTGCAGGTTCTTCATAAAACATCCCCTGGCTGCTATGCCA